TCTGATATTTAAAGATAATTTAATGAAAAAGGCCCCAAATTTAGAATAATGTTTCAGAAAAATACATGATACATATATATTTTTAAGCTAAAGAAAATAGGTATGGTTTGGTCTGCTCTCATCATTGTGGTGGCTTTTCCTATTATGCAACATTAAAATTGTCCCTTCTTCCCTTCTAAAGACCCAAGTCTTAGGCAATTAAACCTTTTATCAATGCTGAAGGAATTTTCTTTTGAAAATGAACTAGGTAGTGTAATTTTGAGCTTTAAATATTTTCTAAGCATTTTCCAATATAAAGAATCAAGTAATTTTTTTGTTTACAAGGTACTTTCCCAAACAACTATTCTTGAGATCCTGAGTAGTTGTATAAATCACAATACTTTAAGTTCTTTGGGAGTGAAAAGATTCTCACGTTAAAACCAAATTGATTTAGTATAATCAGTGCCTCTTGGTAAAATTATTATGCAATTCTTCTGTCATTTGATTTTCTGCAATAGGCTTGCTCTGGAGTTACTATGATCTATTTCACTCACTCAAATGTCTTCCTTTAAATCTTATCATGGTGTTCTATTATTTCTGAGGCGCACCCTCCTAAGAGCTCAGGGAATTTAGTGATGCCCAAGACCTGGATGTTCTACAGAAAATTCAGAGTCTGGTACTTGGCATCCCTGTAGGTGAGGAATTGTTAAGCTGGTAGGGATTCGGTACAATGGTGGTGGCTTTAGGTGATTGTGTATGGTGTGGCAGACACAAACCTTACTGTCTAATCATTGCTCTGGTCAAGCTGGGGACACTTGGATAGAATCAGGGCAACAGAAATCAAATAACCAGGAGGGCTCTCCAGTTTTCCTCTATGGCTCCTTAGTGAGGTTTTACCTCTCCTGGGCATTTGTGTTTAAGCCGATATTTTGCATTTTTTCCCTCCTCCTGAGCTCATTCTAGTAACCCAAACCGAGCTTGTTCCCCAGCTTTGAGGGTGGCAATCAGTTCCTGCAGTTATCTTTGTGCTCAGGGTTCCTTTTGCTCCAAAACCTAATCAATTACCCATACAGTATACCCTCTGTTGAAATTCCTATTGTGGTTTTTGTTTTCTTATTTGGATCTCAAGCAATACATCCAGTATAACCTACCTTTTCTAGTATAAACTGAGCAGAGGGTGAGGTCTCATCCCGATCCTGGGACTCAGCAAAGTCCATGGTCAGTCAGCCTAACCTCCAGGAAAAAAAGAGACACCCAACCTTTTTTTTGGTCTTAAGAGATATGGAGGGATACAAAAAGTGGACACTCACTTTATGATCCCCAACTGGAGAAAGTTTTCTGAATTGAACTAGTTTCGCAGATAGAGCCTAACTGGAGCTGCCAGGGACCACAAAAGCCAAGGTGAAGGAGAATGTGAAGTAAGGAAACTATGTTGAACTCAGGGTCCATGTTCTCCAAACCCTATCAAGACAAGGCAAAACATTCTGGGGTTGGGGGGTGGGGGGTAAAAAGCCAGGCTCAAAATTTTAAGTCGTATTTATTAAGATTTCTACTCAGTAAAAAGAAATGGCTAAACATATGGCAGTAGCTCAACTGCCATCTTTTTAATCTCCTGAAGTTATTAGCATTTTATACCCCATTATGCATACCAAATAAGGCAGCCACAAAGTACTCCCTAAGAACTGGTTTCCTCTAGGGACAAGGTCTCCTGTGACACAGGGAGCTGTGGACACATCTAGCAGAAGTGAGTGGAGTCTTCATCAGTAGACAAAAGATAACTGCAATTCCTTGGATGCCATATCTAGGGACTCACGGGAGCACAGTCACTGGATGGAGGGAGACTCTTCCCAAAGTGGGAATGGTGGAGGCGGGGTGAAGAACAGTCAGGGGAAGGAACTTATGAAGGTTCTTTTTTGAGTCAGGGCCTATGTCAGGTCCTCTATAATACTTAACTCTTGACAGTAACTTGGTTACATGACTCCCATTCATAAATTAAGAAAGCAAGGTAATGAAAGCCCAACTAAGGTCATACAGGTAGAAACCAAGGTTAAGGACGGAATTCTCTTCCCTCCTGCACTGTATACCCTTGGTCCAAACTCATGCACAAATTACTAGTTCCAAATTAAATTCCTTATGGATTAAATATTTGTGAACTAAGGAATCTAAAAGCCATTTAAAACTATTCTTTAATCACAGGCTCTATAGAAACAGGTGGCATGTGGTGCTGGCCACTGGGATATAGTTCACAGATGCAGGGCTGGGGCTCTCAACGGACGCCTTGGTGTGTTCCACGGGCCTCCTGCCCCTGCTAGGGCCTGAACTCTAGTCTTCTGTCTTCACCAGCATTGTTGAGTCTGAAGACATCTTTCTGCTTTTCAAGCTTTTAGGCTCTGCCTTGACCAGTTTCAAAGTTCTGCAATTATCTTGATGGGAAAGCCAGCTCTGTGTTTGATGACCTTCAAGTTCCAATATTGTCACTCCAGCTTCATGAGGCCAAGTGCTCTGCCAGTTTCTGTTCATCAGCAGCAGCTCTAATCCTTGTCCTGGATTCAGAACAGGAACATGCTACCAGCAAAACCACCTTTCAGTTGCAAACATCAGTTCACCTCTTAATTCTCCCTTCTCTAGAATCTTAGCTCCTAAATTTAGTCCTCATTATTTCAGTAATTCTCTGATGCTTTTAAGTAGACAATTTTACATTTTTATCTGGCTTTTCTCATTGTTCTCAGCAGGATTGTAGGTCTGCTGCAATGCTACCTGAAAGGCATAATTTTTGCTTTCAAATAAATTTAAAAAATAGTATAAAGCTAAATAAATTCAAAGTCATTCACAATGCTATTCCCAAAAATTCACAATGCTATTTTTTTCACACTGAAAAAGCATTTCTGAATTAAAATTTAAAGGCAAAGAAAGACCATCTAGAGTGTTGTTGGCTGAGATGCATAAGCTTCCCTTATCCTGCAATACTTTTAAGATCATTTAAATTTTGACTAGATGATATACTGAGTATGATTGGAAAGTTCAGAAAGTATAAAATAGTAGATACTCATTCTTCCACTCCTATCTCCCAGCCACCCAGGTTCTCTCCACAGCAATGCCTGTTTCTTTCCAGAGATAATTTATGCAAATATATACACATATATATTTTTGACAAATAGTTGCACACTATATATGCTATTCTACATCTTGTATTTTTAATTCTGTATCTTCTAGTTCTTTTCATACCCATAAAGTGGTTTTTTTTGTTTAATCACTGTATAGTGTTCCACTGTATCATTTATCTAGTGTCTATTGATGCATTAAGGTTGTTGCTAAGCTTATTACAAAAAATGCCACACAAACATGTTCTGCACATACCAGTCTAAACACATGTGAAGACAGCTTTAAGAAATTTCTAGAGATATAGTTACCAAGTTTAACTCCATTGGAATTTTTAATTTTGTATTCATATACCAAGCAACATGAGTGCCAATTTCCCCACATTCTTGCCAAGGAAAAAATCCCACACATATACACACAAAAACAAAAGCACCTTCCTCTTTACGAATGGTAGAAAAATACTAGCATTAATGTAAGTGATATTCATATTTTTGCATATTTAAGAGCCATTTATCTTTCCTGAGAACTGTTTCTTTGGGAACATAAGCTTTTCTAATTTTCCTTGTTTGTTACCATTTTTTAATGTATCAGCAGTAACTTTACATAAAGGAAATTTAGCTCTTTGTGAATTGCATCTATTTCCTCTCCAGTTTGCCAAGTCCTCCAATTTTCCTTTGATCGTTATATAGAACTTTTAATTTTTATTTTTAATTGTGGTAAAATATAAATGTCCACTTTATTTCTTATGATTATTTTACTTTTCAGATTCTAAACCTCTGCAGTTTTAGTACTTCCTGTGAAACAAAATACTCATACCCCTTCCACAACAATGAGAAGAAAAAGTAAAACATCCTAATGACCAACATAGAACATCAGTTTCTAATGAAAAGGCATACATACATGGCAGGACTACCAGAAAGCCTAACAGAGAAATTAAAATTTACCTTAAAACCAACTTTAGTCAGGAAGACGTCTTCACAGACGAATCAGTGGTTAAATATATAAATCCTAAATTGTCACACTATTTTCCCCCCTTTTTGGTCATGGGCTATTCCAGGAAGATTTAATTACATAACTTTTAATTTGAGGAGTTCTGGCAATGTCTACCCTAAAACGTAAAGTGAAATTGCTCTTAGAAAAATACTACTTTGATGATAATAGATTTTAGTTTATTTTAGACAGATTTGGTTAGTTTCTGACTACACTTCATTACAGTTATTACTCAGAAGGCAATCACCTTTTTTTTAAAAAGGGCAAACTAGGGCATAGAAGCCACAGGGCATAAATCTGCAAAAGCTAACCTTTTCAAAGAATATTGCTTTCCTCTCACCAAATTTACATTTCCCTGTATGGCCCGGGAAGATGGCTGGTTAGCTAGAGACGGGTAAGATTCCTCAAGGGAGGAACAACCTAAGACAGGCACAGTCACAGGGGGTCCATCAGGTGAGAAATTGGGGGTCAACAGAGGTGAGGCTTAGAACCTCACCTCCCCCGCCCACCCCCGGTTTTGAGAGAAATCTTCTGCATCCGTGGATGTTTTGCTGCCCTTGTCTAGCTTGGTTTAATACTTAGTCTATAGGCACACACCTGATCATCTACACTTGCCTTCTTATAGTACTAACTTATGCTTTCTATCTTTATCTTGCATCTACCTACCACTTCAGCATTTTATTTAAAAGAAATAATAAAATAAAATAAGGGAGAAATATGGGATTCATATATAAATCAAGTATAAAAATCAAATGAATAATCATATCTGACTTGATTGTTTATAGTTCATGATGCGTGATCAAAACCGAAAGTTTCTGTGATATGACTGCCCTGGCACTGTTCAACATGTAAGAACTTATTCACTATGTAAGAACTTGTTCACCATGTAAGAACTTGTTCGTTATGCTTCAGAAGATTGGAGACTGTTGAGAATTAGGCTTGGGGTTGATTAATGATTGTGCATTGAGTCCCCTATACAGAATTTTATTGTTGTAAACAACCATTTGATCAATAAATATGAGAGGTGCCCTCTCAAAAAAAAAAGGGCGAACTAAATTTTAAGTTAGCATCAAAATTCCACCCATAATTACCCAATATTGAAATAGATACCATCAAATATGCAAAGATTAACAGAATTTCAGTTATAAGAAATTTGGAGGGGAAAAAAACCTCAATAATGTATAAAAATTTTGACAAATTTAAGCTAGCATTTTCTGTAGGACATTTTATTGTATTTTTACCTTAAAAGGATGGATAATAGACAACAGAAATGCTGTTAAAACTGTTATTGTTTGCTCAGTTATTCATATTAATAAAACAAAAGATTAATAGTCAAATTTCACGAAAGGACGTCATTGCCTTCTGATTTAACTTTCAAGGGTAAGACAGGGCAAAACCCAAGTATTATACTTTTAATTTTTGTCCATCAATACAAGTAAGTCAGTATCAGTACAACTGATGACATGGAAATAAACATGGTTAAGTCTCAAGTTCCACAACATAGGGTATTGTGATATAACTCTCCTACAGTAAATTCCAATTTTATTTTTTATGGAAGAGCAGATTAACAGAAATGTGCATCTTCAAAATTTCAAGTAATTCAGTAACTAATTTTGATGGTGACACTAGAAACTATGGTGTGAAAGCTGTAAAACCCAAATGTTTTGTGTCATTGTTTTAGCTAAGAAAGGACGAGAGAGATTGCTCTGCCAAACTACACCTGCTACTCCATCCTGGCCCGAGTTTCTGATCAGTCACTCAGTCCATGCTTCCCAACTGTCAATCTACCCAACCCAGCCTCATCCCAACTCTTTAACTCCTTTTGCATCAAGCATCTAGTTTCCTGTTAATAATATATTCATAACTTTTGTGATTTCATGTTCATCTAACCCATTTGAAATCAAAGAAAATGCTATAATGCTCAAAATAACTGAAAAAGATGGAAACTGGATTACTTTAGTGTTAGGGAAGATGAATTTCAAGTATATGGAAAAATAGCAAGAAAACTTAGATTTCAAACCCTGCCTGGATTCCTTAACTACTTGGTATAATGTAATATTGCTTTAATTACTAGTCAGGACAAAAGGTGAGCAAAGGCCATAAAACATGCACTTTGAGGAAAGAGAATGGCACTTCAAAGATTTCTTGGGAGTTGGCCAAAGCATTTTATACCCGTAAGGTATGGCATATCAGTTATCATGAAGGAAATGGTTGGCACTCTTTATGACTGAGTTAGTAGAAGCATATTTCTATATTCCTCCCTTACAACCCCACAGTCCTTTAATTAAGGACAAGAAATGTGTCCAGAGAGGAATTAATGAAAAATTTATAGATTCAATGATAGAAAGGAGTTTCCCAATCCTACTTTACCAGAGTATAGAACACCCATCTTTTACCCATGCATTACTTTGTGTACCTCTGAAACATCTGAAAAATACTTTTCTGTGACTTATTAGGCTGTAGGGAACGAGTATTTTTAGATACACTACAATTATCTCTAGTAGAATTTGGCATCTTTCTTCCACCAACATCAACCGAATGTTTCAACTGAACCTTAAAAGAAGGTTGCCAATTCTCATTTTTTGAGCCTCTGTGAGGTTTTGGATCCTCTGTATCAGTTTGCCTTTTGAAGTTCCTATCTTCGGAATTCTTCCTCTGTCCATTTTGCACTTTGCTTGGAGGTGAGGACGTAGGACGCAACTGATACTGACCTGGGGATCCTTTTTGCCGGTTTGGCGTCACTTGTTCTTTATCTACCTCTTTCTGAAGCTGCAATGCTAATAACCTGTCCTGTTCTTCTTGTTTATGTCTCTCAAAAAGCAAATGTTCCAAATCTATCAGTTTTTGGGCAAAATTCATTTCTGTTTCCTCTTGGTCTGAGGAAGCTTTGGGGATTGTTTTCTTTCTTTTTGCAGAAAAGCATGGATCCCCGACTCCTTCAAACGAAGATTCCTGGTTTTTTCTTTTGGAAATATCTTTACTGATTAGTAGGTGAGACCCTTCATTTTCTGTTTCAACTGTGTTATTTCCAATTACCTGAGTTATACCTGATATAGTACACCCATTCTCTGTTTTGTCATAATTATTAACTGCAGCTTCTCCAGAGCAGGGAACTCTGGCTTTAGGTCCCACATGATCTACGACACATAACTCTTCATCATGATTGCTTAGACTTGTTTTGAGTTTTCCTTCAAGGCACCATTCTGTACCAGTCGCATATACCTGAGGCAAAGGGGACTCTATTGAAGACTTTGCACCTTGTTCTGGAATTTCAGGGTGCATTTGCAGAGAAAGTGTTGGCATATCTTCTTCAATTTCTATGTCTTGCCATGTAGGGCTTTTTACGTCATTACCGTCAGTTTCCTGAAGAAAACAGAAAAAGAGTGGGTGAACCAGGGGAAAACATCATGTCATAATATTTAAGTCTAATTATACTGGTGTCATAGTTGAGTGGTCACCTTAAGGTGTTAGTATTACTACTAAGGTTATTAATTCTTAATACTGTTTTTATTCTGTGTGTCAATTTAGATTAAAGTATTTCTTCATTTTCACTCCCAGGAAAATCTACAGATTTAAAATCCACAAGCTAGATTCTACACATGGCTAATACATATGGTCAATTCTACATATGGAGAGGCACCAGGGCCTGAACTCTCTTTCACCTTATGAACTTCCTCTAGTCCAGGTGTTAACTCTTTTTTGTGGCATGGACTCTCCTCCTTTCAGCATTTTGGCGAAGCTTACAGACCTCTTCTGAGAATATTTTTAAATATGAAAATAAATACATGGAATTACAAAGGCAATAATTTATATTGCAACAATTATTAAAATATTAAAATGTATGATGTAATAATGTGTATCAATACACTGAAGGTAAGATCTAGTGGAAAATCTAGTAACCTGTAATATTGAAGTAGGATGGGCATAAATGATATTTCAAGAAATCTGCGACAAACATAATGCATGAACAACCTGTGCTCTCCTAGGACGACAGAGTCACAGGGCACTGGCAACAGTACCATGGTTTGCTGTCTATGTTCATAACTAAAGGACACACGAAAATAAGTAGTTAGGTCAAAGTAGAGATCTACAACTTCTTCCATCTAGTTCATATGTACTCCCTGGATTCTAACCATGCACCTTAGGTGAAGAATCCTTGCTTTTGCCAGTATAGTTCTTCTCATTTATAGGTTTTAGGTAAGTCAAAATCTAAGATTATTTTTGACCATGAAAAAGCCTTAAGAAGAAAGGCTTCAATGAATCTTCCTGAGAACAAAAATTAATCCTTGTTGGATATCTTAAATCTGTTCTTTTACCTACTTTGCTTCATTTATCATTCCTAGTAGTATTTCTTATGAACCAGTGTGGTTTACATTGGACAAATTCTAGGTTGCTTACCTAGCTTTGCTGTGAATTTGTGAACACCAGGGTAGGAAGAATATCACAGCCCTATGATGCCTTTCCCACCAACCGTCAGTTCCTGTATGAGCCAGATCATCTGGATTTGAATCTTCCCTTTATTATCTCTACTTAAGGGACTTTGGGCAAGTCTCTTATTTGTGTGCCTCAGCTTTCTCAACTGTAAAATGGGCACAAGGATAGCTTAAAGAGTGGGTGGTTGTCATGACGATTAAAGATACATAATTTGGCACATAATGTCCATTAAATGATAGGTGCTATATAAAACTACCTTGTTAAACTAGAAAAATTTTAAGAACCTGTGAGTAAAGAGTTAATGAAACCTCTATATAACTTGTATGCAGGCAACAGACCTTGGTGTCAGGTCACCTTTCCTAGTTTTGTTTTCCTGGAAACATGACAAAATGGAATGACACCTGTGTTACCAGGTCATATAACTTATGGTAAAAGTGACCCTCATTGGTCAACTGCATCTACACTAGGAGAACTCTGAGTGATCTATGAACATCTAGCGGGAAGACAAAGCTTAGGGCTTCCGTAAGTGACCTGCAACTCTTTTGACTGGGTGTGATTCTTACCAGGACCCCTGGAAGCTACACCCATGGGTTATTAAAACAAATAATTGACTCTTATGGGTCCTGGGGCTTGTAGGCCAGAGTGGTTACCACCCTTATTGGCACGTATTCATTTCCAGGTTGCCACTTGGGAGCTCTGCAATGGGGACTCTTGCAGAACAGACATGGCTGTGCCATCCTACTGGCATGCTTTGTTTCCTATCTGGTAATCTTTTCAATCAATCAATCAATCAATCAATCAGTCAATCAATCAATCATTCACTCATTCATTCATTTTTATTTATTTATTCATTCATTCATTTATTAAATTAATTGATTTATTTATTTTGTTGTCATTAATCTACAATTACATGAAGAATATTATATTTACTAGGGTCCCCCCTTCACCTAACCCCATTACAGTACTGTCCATCAGTGTAGTAAGATGCTGTAGAATCACTACTTGTCTTTTGTGTTACACAGCCCTCCCCATAGCCCCCCCCACATTATACATGCTAATCATAATGTCCCCTTTCTTTTTCCCCACCCTTATCCCTCCCTTTCTCCCCAGTCCCTTTCCCTTTGGTAACTGTTAGTCCATTCTTAGGTTCTATGATTCTGCTGCTGTTTTGTTCCTTCAGTCTTTCATTGTTCCTATAGTCTTCGGGTATGAGGTGAGTCTCTTGTAAGTGGCATAGATGTGGGTCTTGCTTTTTTATCCATCCTATTATTCTGTGTCTTTTGATTGGTGCATTCAGTCCATTTACATTTAGGGTGATTAT